GAAGATCACCTCAGAAAGACTGCCTTTATTTTGCCTAACTCAGAACTGGCCTAGCACTAAAAATGTTATATTTTGGGGGTAGGGGGAAGTAAGTTGTTGAAAACCTTCACGATAATGTCTTCGTTTGCTGCAGCCTGAGGTGATGGATAACGGTACAGTTGGGGGCAAACAACAGACTAATCAAAACGGCTGGAGGTTTGAAAAAGTCTCACCTATTCCTGGGAATCTTTCTAGATTGTAGAAGGGGAGTAGTGGAATGTTCTATTCCAGGAGAGTTAAAATGAGTATTACTATTCCTGCATGAGTAGGAATGTGCATATGCTCTGGAAAGATCTAAGAAGGCACTAGGTTTTTACCTCCTATTGACACTGAAGTTCTAATTGAAGTTGAAAGTAAAGGCTTACGCAGAGTTGCCAAATGCTGGGATGAGAGCTAAAGACCTGCCCTAATGCACACAGAGCCTCTGAGCAAAGACTGGTTGGTTTCTTGGCTTCCACCTATTTAATAAAAGCTCTGTGTAACCATTAGCTGACCACTAAGCCAATGAAACAGAGCCCTCAGGGTCCACATGGATAAAGAATACAAACTTTACAGAATTAATTCAGAAAAGTCACAAAACAAACAACATGCTGTAACACACAACAAACCCTTCAGAGAGGGGAGAAAATCTGATTTCCAGAGTTGCTACGTCGTAATATTCCAAATGTCCAGTTTTCAACAAAGAATATAAGATAAGATATGCAAAGAAATAAAAAAGTACGGAATATGCACAGGAAAAAAGAACAGAAGCTCCTGGGGGAAGCCCAGATGCTGGACTTTCTAGACAGACTTAAAATCAGGTATTTTAAATGTGTTCAGTGACATAAAGTAAACTATGTCTAAAGAATTAAAGCAAAGTTAAAAATAAAGTCTCATTAAGTTGAGATTAATAGATGGAACCACAAAGATGGAAAAGTACAATAAAAGAAATGAAAAATTCACTTGAGAGGTTCAACATGAGAGGTAAGCAGGCAGAAGAATCAGCAAACTTGAAGATAGGTCAACTGAGATTATTTAGTCTATAGAACTGAAAGAAAAAGACCAATGCCAAAAACCCAAACAGAGTATCAGAGACCTATGGAACACCATCAAATATACCAACATGTACATAATGGAGTCACAGAAGGAGGGGAGAAGGGAGGAAGCAAAAATATGTCAACAAATAATGGCCAAGAATATGCCCAATTTGATGAAGAACAGTCAAAAAACCCAACAAACCCCAATGGGAGGATTCAAAAAATTCCAAGCTTAGATATACCATAATCCAACTCCTGAAAGACGAAGAGAGGGAATCTTGAAAGCAGCAAGAGAGAAGCAACTCCTTCTGTACAGATGATTCTTAATAAGACTAAGAGACTACTCATCTGAAACTACGCAGGGGCAGGCCAGAACACAGTAGAATGACACCGAGTGCCTAAAGAATTAGATGTCAACCAAGACTTCTTTATCTGGCAACACAATCCTTTAGAGATGAAGGAAAAATTAGCCCATTGCCAGATAACAAAAGCTGAGGCAGAGGTAACCTGGTTGGCTCAGTGGGCTAAGCAGCTGACCCTTGATCTCAGCTCAGGTCTTGATCTCAGGGTCATGAGTTCAAGCCCTGCATTAAGTAGTGAGCACTACTACTTTAAAAATAAAACAAAACAAAAAACTTGAGGCAATTCATCACTACCAGACCTCCCCTCCAACAAATGCTAGTGGGAGTCCTCCAGGCTGAAATGAAATGATACTAGACAGTAATTCGACTTCACATGAAGAAATAAAGAACACCAGGAAAGGTAACTACTTAAGTAAATACATGAGACACTATAAATGTATCTTTTGTTTTCAACTCCTTTTTTCCCCGTCTGATTCAAAAAGCAATTGCATAAGCAATAATTATATATCTAGATGGCTAGGCACACAATGTATAGGGAGGAAATCTGTACCATAAAAGGAAGGGAACAGAGATGTATAGGGACATTTCTGTACACTACTGAAATTAAGTTGGTATTAACCCAGAGTATCCTTATTAACTAAGATGTTAATCTTCAGGGCAAACAGTAAAAAATAATTCAAGAAATATAGTAAAAGAAATGACAAGGGAATTACAATTGTCACATAGACAATATCTAGTTAATACAAAAGAAGGTAGTAATGGAGGAATTTAGCAACAAAAAAGACCCAACATAAAGAAAACAAATAGCAAAATGCCACAAGTCCTCCTTATCAATAATTACATATCAATGGTTTAAACTCTCCAATTAAAAGGCAGAGACTCGGGGTGCCTGGGTGGCTCAGTCGGTTGACTGTCCAACTCTTGGTTTTAGCTCAGGTCATCATCTCAGGTCCTGGGATTGAGCCCTGTGTCAGGCTCTGCACTCAGAGAGGAGTCTGCTTGGGATTCTCTCTCTCATTCTCCTTCTGCTCCTCTCCCCACTCACACACGTGCTCTCTCTCTCAAATAAATAAATTTTTAAAAAAGGCAGAAACTGGCAGAATAAAGAAAACATGATCCAACTACATGCTATCTACGGAGACTTAACATAGATTGAGACACAGACTGAAAGTAAAATGATGGAAAAAGATATTCCATGCAAATAGTACACAAAATAGGGTTAGAGTAGCTATACTAATAACAGATAAAACAGACAACACAAAAATTGTTCCCAGAGTCGAAAAGGACACCATATAATGATAAACATGTGAATACAGACACAAACACATATGCATCTAACAACAAAACCCCAAAATATATGAAGCAGAAACTAAGAGAATTAAAGAAAGAAATAAGCAACCCAATAATATTTGTTGGAGACTTTAATACTCCATTTTCAATAATAGAACTACAAAGAAAATCAGCAAGGAAACAGAAAACTTGACTATCACCATATACCAACTAGATCTAAGACACATCTACCAAACACTCTGCCTAACAAAATAAGAATACTCATTCTTCTCAAGTCACATGGCACATTCTCTGGGACAGACACTCTGTTAGGCCATAAAACAAAAAAATTTTTAAAGGTGAAAATCATACAAATTATGTTCTCTGAGAAATGGAATGAAGTTAGAAATAACAGAAGAAGATTTGGAAAATTTACAAACACACTGAAATTAACACTCCTAATTAATCAATGGATTAAAGAAAAAAATCACAGAGAAATTAAATTAGCAAGTGCCATAAGATAAATGAAAACAAATTTACCACATGCCAAAAGTTATGGCATCCAGTAGAAGCAGGGCTAATAGGGAAATTTATAGCTGTAGAGGTCTACCTTCTAAGGAGAAAAAGAACTCAAATCAATAACTTTATCTTCCATCTTAAAAAACCAGAAGAAGGGCGCCTGGGTGGCTCAGATGGTTAAGCGTCTGCCTTCGGCTCAGGTCATGATCCCAGGGTCCTGGGATCGAGTCCTGCATCGGGCTCCCTGCTCCTTGGGAGCCTGCTTCTCCCTCTGCTTCCCTCTCTCTCTCTCTCTCTCCTCCTCTGTCTCTCATGAATAAATAAAAACAAAACAAAACAAAACAAAACAAAAAAACCAGAAGAAGAGCAAGCCAAATCCAAAACAAGAATAAGGAAGGAAATAATAATAAAGACTAGAGTGGAAATAAATGAAATAGACAACAGAAAAACAATAGAGAAGATCAAGAAAATCCAGAGTTGCTTCATTAGAAATCAACAAGGTTGACAAAAAAACAGAAAGGGGACTTAAATTACCAGAATCAGAAATGAAAGAGTGAACATTACTGCTGACCCTGTAGGAATAAAATGGATTACAAAGAAAAACAAGGAGCAAATATGTACCAACCAATTAGATAACACTGATGAAATGGACACATTTCTAGAAAACACAGAAACTGCCAGAACGGTCTCAAAAATATAAAATATTTAAGAGACCTATAAAAAGTAAAGACATTAATTTAATAATCAAAAACATTCTAACAAAGCCCAGATGGCTTAGCTGGTAAATTCTACCAAATATTTAAGAAGAATTAACAATAATCCTTTACTACTAACTCTTCCAAAAAATAGGAGGGAACACTTTTAACACTTTCTAACTCAGTCTGAGGCCAGTTTTATTCTGATACCAAAGTCTGACAAAGGTATAACAATAAAACTACTGACCAATATCCCTTAGGAAGATAAATGCAAAAATCCTCAACAAAATACTGGCAAACTGAGTCCTAGAAGCATACACAAATGATTAATAACCATGAGCAAGAGAGACTAATTCCAGGAATACAAGGTTTGTTCAAGGTAGGAAAATCAATTAACGTAATAAACTGTATCAACAGACCGAAAGACAAAAATGACATAATCGTGTCAATAGAGGGAGAAAAAGCATTTGACAAAATCCAACATCCTTTCATGATAAAAGCACTAACTAACAAGGAAAAGGGAACTTTTCCAATCTGATAAAGGACATCTATGAATAATCTACTGCTAACAACATACTTAAACTGAAAATTTTCCCCCTAAGAATAGGACCAGTAGAAGTATGCTCACTCTCATCACTGCTATTCAGCCTTATACTGGAGGTTCTAGCTAGGGAAATTAGACAGGAAACAGAAGTTAAAAAAAAAAAAAATCCAGATTGAAAAGAAAAAAGTAAAACTCCCCGAGCAGGGAGCCTGATGCGGGACATGATCCCAGGACCCTGGGATCATGACCTGAGCCGAAGGCAGACGTCCAACTGACTGAGCAACCCAGGCGTCCTGAGAAGATCTTATATATGGAAAATCCTAAGGCATCTACTCAAAAACCTTATTTGGGTTAATAAATGAGTTCAGTAGTTGAAGGACAGAAAAGAAACACAAAAATCAGTTGCATTACTGTGTAGTAGCAGTGAACAAATTGAAAATGAAATTAAGAATACAAATTCTTAATAGCTTCAAAAATAACAAAATAAAATTAACATTTATTTAGGAATAAATTTAACTGAAAAAGTACAAAACTTTTCAGTATACACTGAAAACTACAAAACATTGTTAAATGAAATTAAAGATGTACACAAATGGGAAAGAAATCCTGTCTTCATAGACTGGAAGAGTTAATGTTGTTAAGACTGCAATACTTCCCAAAATGATCTAAAGACTCAATCCAATCCCCATCAAAACTCCAACTGTCATTTTCCAGAAACAGATGAGCTGACCCTAGCATTCATATGGATTTGCAAGAAACACAGAATAGCTGAAATAATTTTGACAAAAAGAACAAAGTTGGAGGACAGACATTTCCCAATTTCAAAATACAGTACAAAAATACAGTAATCAAAACAGTGTGGTACTGACCTAAGATTAGACATATATACCAACAGAACAGAACTGGGAGTCCAGAAACAAACTCATACATTATGGTTAATTCATTTCAACGAAGGTACTGAAATCATTCAGTGGAAACAGAATAGTCTTTTCAACAAATGGGGCTGAGACAATGAACTATACATAAGCAAAAGAATAAAGTTTGATCCTTGCCTCTCACCACATACAAAAATTAACTCAAAATGGATCAAAAACTTAAGAACTAAAAGTTAAAAATTCATCAGCACACGGGGTGCCTGGGTACTTAAGTCAGTTAAGCGTCCAACTCTTGATTTTGGCTAAGGTCATTATCTCAAGGTCCTGGAATGGAGCCCTGTGTCAGGCTCTGCGCTCAGTGCGGAGTCTGCTTGTCTCTCTCTCTCTGTCTCTCTGTCTCTGCCCCCCCCCCCCCCCCGCATGCACATGCTTTCTCTCTCTCTAAAATAAATAAATAGATCTTTAAAAAAAGTTCTTAGATGGAAAAATAGGTGAAAATCTGTGACAACGGATCAGGCAGCCTTAAAAAAAAAAAAAAAGATATGACACCAAAACCATAAGCAATCAAAGAAGAAAAAGATAAATTGGACTTCATTAAAATTAAAAACTTCTGGGGCGCCTGGGTGGCTCAGTTGGTTAAGCGACTGCCTTCGGCTCAGGTCATGATCCTGGAGTCCCGGGATCGAGTCCCACATCGGGCTCCCTGCTCAGCAGGGAGTCTGCTTCTCCCTCTGACCCTCTTCCCTCTCATGCTATCTCTCATTCTCTCTCTCTCAAATAAATAAATAAAATCTTTAAAAAAATTAAAAACTTCTGTAAGTCAAATGACACTATCAAGAAAGTGGGAAGACAACAGAATGGGACAAAGCATCTTTAAATCTTATCTGGTAAGGGTCTAGTATCCAGAATATATTAAAAAACTCTTACAAACAATAGTGACAAAAGAAAGCCCCATTAAAAAATGAGCAAAGGATTTGAAAAGACATTTCTCCAAAGATATACCAAAGGCCAAGAAGCACATGAAAAGATTTTTAATATGATTAGTTCTTTGGGAAATGCAAATCAACACCATGAGATATCTACACTCACATGATGGCTATTATAAAAAAGACAGACAACAGCAAGTATTGGCAAGGACATGGAGAAAATGAAATTCTCACACATTGCTGATGCAACTGAAAAATGGTACAAGCACTATGGAAAACAGTTTGGCAATTTCTTAGAAGGTTAAACGTAGGGTTTACCATATGACCCGGTAGTTTCCCTCCTAGCTATAACCGCATAAGCAATGGTGCATCAATGTTCGTAACAGCATTATTCATAATAGCCAGGAAGTGGAAACAATCTAAACGTCCATCAGCTGATGAGTGGATTGAAAAATGTGGTATATTCATATAATGGAATATCAATGAGTCATAAAAAGGAATGAGGTACTGTAAAAGGCAACAATACAAATGAACCTTGAAAACACGTTAACTGAAAGAAGTCAGACACAAAGGCCACAAATTGTATACTATTTATATGAAATGTCCAGAATAAACAAATCTGTAGACAGAGAAAGATTAATGATTGCCAAGGATGTTGCTAAATATCCCACAATGAACAGAACATCCCAGAATTACTCAGTTCAGAATGTCAATAGTACTGAGGTTGAAAAACTCTGTTCTAAGGTGAAGTTTATCTATTAAATGGGAAAAAATAACCAAACGTGTAAAATCATAAGTACTCCAAACTTATTAGAGCTGCAATTCCTCATTTTGACAATATGAAATAGGATGATGAAGGAGTGTTCAAGAATCAGTCTCACGTTTAGGGCGCCTGGGTGGCTCAGTCATTAAGCGTCTGCCTTCGGCTCAGGTCATGATCCCAGGGTCCTGAGATCGAGTCCCACATGGGGCTCCCTGCTCAGCGGGAAGCCTGCTTCTCCCTCTCCCACTCCCCCTGCTTGTGTTCCTGCTCTTGCTGTGTCTCTCTGTCAAATAAATAAATAAAATCTTAAAAAAAAAAAAAGAATCAGTCTCACGTTTAGAGTATACCTTAAATCTTGCCAATTTAAGACATCTTTAAGATGCTGCAATTCAAATATATTTCTTTTATGAAAAGATTTCAACCATGTTGGATATGAAGATTTGGGCAAATCCAGATGTCATCACAGTGTTTTTAAAACCCGTTTTAAGGATGTTTCTTTTGTAGGTATCTCCTTCCAGTTGTACATTTACATCTAGTCACTGGAGAGGATGAGATTATAGCTTCTGAGACTGGGATCCAGGACTTCAAAAGCGGCTGCCTGGAAACAGAGCCCTGTGTGCTGCTGCGGGTGCGCCGCACCGTAATGTGAGCAACAGGAAGAAAGCCGTGAGCACACTGATACCCGCGCATCTTTTCTAATCTTTTCCCTAGAACCGGAACCTGACCAATCACTAGTTCTTTTATTCTTCTTTGGAAGATGGTGTTCACAAAAGCTTTCAAAGGGAGCTCCTCATCGATGACGGTGTCTGAAAACCATGAACACGGGCAGAAATGTGTTAATTTACAAAACAGATGCACTTCTGAAAAGCAGGAGAAGTAAACATTCATGTGTATAAATCTGTAAGGCAGAAAGCATCTAAGTATACTGGGGAAAAGGCACAGAATCAGAAGTCATGACCTAGTTTCCAAATCCTGTCTCTGCTGAATTAACATCCAAGTCACTCAATCTCTCCGGACTTGTTTCCTCATTCCAAAATACAGGGATAATTTTATATTTTCTCTAAGTATTTCACCAGGTTAGAGGATCAAACAATAATTTGTAATACAATTTGTATTTACCTAATAGAGAATGCATTTCAATGTAGGTTTTTTTTTAATGAACAAAATTAAAAATTCATGGACGAGAACACGGAGATGGAACCCAGCTCGTTAGTGGATTACAATACTAAAGCGGCTCAATGGACCTTCCTAACAGTAGTCTCTTGAATCCTCTTCTCCCAATTCCGAAAAAGATGGTTTCCGGTATCTCTTAAAAAATAAGATTTCCAAATAGCTCTCAAATATGTTGAGAATGCTGTCAACTTATTAAGCTCACTCTTTTTAGCTTACTTGATGTCATCTTGGGCTGGCAGCCAGGTGCCAAAGATAAGATGGTACCCCCCCTTGCACAGCCACCAGGCAGAGGGAGCCTGCTGAATTTTTGTTTTTTAAAGACCTGAAAATGTTAACTCTGAGGAAAAATGTCCATTATCATTTTCTCAAAATCCATTAATTATAAATATGCCATTATTATTTAGACAACTTTACTTAAAATGAGGGGATAAATTACTTTTGAGAATCTTTCTTCTGGGGCAGAATGATAACTTGAATTTCTTCAGCTGTATATTTATGGAAGAGTCTTGAGACGTGAAGACTCATTAAGAACACTGGCTACAGATCTGTGTATTACAACATACCACTCCTCCCAGGCTTTTAGCAATGCCTGACATTTCGCTGAGGTTGTACTGGTCTGGCTTTAGGCTATTACTGGGTCCACCCCTACTGAAACACCTAATTATCTCAACAGTTCCATGACAGATGCAGAAGCTCCAAAATTCCCACTTCGAAGTTCTTACTGACTCTCAAGAATTCAGTAAGAGAGTAACTGAAAGAAAAGAAAACCTGAAGTTTAAAGAAGGTGACATTAGGTCTATACAAAAGCAAATCATCGGGAACCTAAAAATGCTTGGAAGCTTAGTATTTGAGAGTGAAGGCAATGTGACGCTAGAGGAGTAACAATTCAGAAGAGAACTATTAAAGTTTGGGGGCTCAGTCATTAAGCGTTTGCCTTCGGCTCAGGTCATGATTCCAGGGTCCTGGGATCGAGCCCCGCGTCGGGCTCCCTGCTCAGCGGGAAGCCTGCTTCTCCCTCTCCCACTCCCCCTGCTTGTGTTCCCTCTCTCACTGTGTCTCTCTCTGTCAAATGAATAAATCAAATCTTTAAAAAAAAAAAAAAAAGAAAACTATTAAAGTTTGTCCACGGATTCTTTAGACCACAGCCAAATGAAAAGTCAAGTGCAAGGCATGGAAGGCTATTAACAAAAAGAGGAATATAAGATACTAAATTTTTCTACGAGCTCTATTCTGATAACTAAATGAGTCTTTCACTGACCAAAGGCCAAAAAAGATTTTGTAGTCGTCTTTAAAAATAACATGTTTGGATTTTTTTTTTTTTTCCATTATGTGGACATCCTCCTTTACACTAGGTGGCTACCTGCAGTTACCAGACAAGTTAGTAATACCTTAAATACCAGAATGAAAAGGTGTTTTGTTTTGTTTTTTTAAAGAAAACTCAATTAGAATTTTGAAAATTACTTGTCATTTCAGTTCCCACATTTTTATTCCATTATGAGAAGTGCCCTTGCTTTCGACTGACATTGGTCTAGCATTCCATTAGAAACCATTTTGATCTTGTCTTATTTCATATCAGTCTTTTTCGTTGTTCCCTAAGCCTGTAAACTCCCGGGCAGAAATCCTGCTTTCTCTTCTAGTCCTCAGCAAGACCTACGAGTGCTCCCATGGCAAAGCATCAGCGCTGGTCGACACTCATTCATCACGGCCGACACTGCAGCTGTGGGGCTCAGAAGGCAGAAAGGTATGAAGCAACAGAGCTGTGGGCTGGGCAAGAAGAGCCCCGAGGACATACTCCAACTGTGTCACTCACCAGAGGGGTGTCTCTGGTCCACCTGCTTCGCCTCTCTTACCCCGTGTCTCTTTGTCAATACAGCAGTGGAAAATGATACTCTTAGCCTTATCATTAAATGAGATCACAAATGGGAATGTTCTGTAAATGTTAAGAGTTCTAGGTGACTACAGCTATTACCTGTGCCACTGTTACTAAGATGGAATACCAACCCCATTTTTTGGTCTTTTCCCAAATAATTGTTTCCCTACCCCTAAAGTGAACTGATCGTCTCCAACACTTTCCCCACCTCTCTTCCTCAGCCTTCACTTAGCACTTAGTAGTAAATCTCAAAACTTCTTGCACAAGTTCCTTACGTTCAATCACAGCTGGTCAGCATCGTGCGTATCTGACATGAGTCTTTAAACTTTGGCACAACTATTGGCATACACAAGTTGGGGAGACTGAAACTGGCCCACAAGTAGCCATCGTACAATCATTCAGAAGCAGCTTCCTGCCATTCTGTTCAACAAGCAAGCACAATCACTGGTCTGACTTTTAAACCACACACGCAGAATTTAACACACCAGTTTTATTCGATGAGGCAGAGCAGCTCCAGGATACCAAGAAAGTTTTTTCTTTTAGGCACTTTTGTAACCAATGTTTATCCCAAGTCCTAATCTCAAATTCTGCATTAAAACAAAACAAAAAAACTGCTTTGATTTTTAATTATTTTTTTTTAATCTACTTAGAGGGTCCTATGAAAAACCGAAATGTAAACACTTCACAGCCACCACACTGGCACAAAAGTTAAAAGTAGCACTACCACCTGTTGGTGAGGATGTGGGGCAAAAAGAACACTCAGAACACTGCCTGGAAACAATTTTGCATTACCTAGAAATTGTAGATGCATATACCTTATGACCCAGTTATTCCACGTAGATAAAATTCCCTAGAACACTCTTACAGTATATGTACCAAGAGACATTTTCAGAGCAGCACTGTTCAAAATAGCCAAAAAACCCAGGAACAACCCAAGTGTCCATTACCAGAAGAGATAAATGTGTGTACCTCTGTATTCATTCAGAGGCATTAACACGTATCTGCATTGATAAACTTCAGCTTCCATGGATGAATCTTACAACGTCGAGTTAAAAAAGGGAAAAAAACAGGTTGTAAAAGACTGCATTTAACAGGAACTATTACATGAAGCTACAAAACATCTAAAAAAAAGTGATGTGTTATTTATGGATATATAAATAGGTGGCAAAATCATAAAACTAGACAAAGGAAAGATAAGCACAAAATTTAATGTTACAGTTCCCACAGGTGGGGAGGGAGGAGATGGGGCCGATAGCTAACGTAATGGTAACAATCTCTTCCTTACATTAGGGGCTGAGTACAGAGAACTACTTGCTCTATTATTCTGTAAATCATACATGTAAATTATAGATATTTTCTTTGGTATGAAATAATTCACAAAACATATGGTGCCTATGGTAAAACAAGAAAATCTGTTTTCAAGAGAGTTCATAAATTTAGTTTCTCTGTCCTTCCAGCTCCTACAACAGTCTCATTCTGCCACTCTATTCACATGTAAAACATGCTACTGCCTTTATAGGATATTCCCTATTCAGTATTTATGTTGTTTAACTTCCCGTATTCTAAATTGTTAATAATTGGCCTGAGCCTCATACGAGCTTGTGGACTCTTCTGCAGAGCAGTAAGTGAAACCCAAAAGATGAAACACTTAAGGTCAATCACGAGGAAAGAGAATGGAGCTGAATTTAGGGCCTGGAATTCTCAAGTCACGTTTTACAGAGTATCTACATTATGCTTCTTCTCCGAAGCCCCTTGGGCCTTCATAGTCTACCCATTTTCAGAAGTGCTATCTTGTAACTGGGGACGGTTGGCATGAAGTGAGGAGAACCACACATCTCAGCCCTGAGATGCTGGCGTGCAGGTAGTCGCTAGATTCAACACACCGCCTTGCCCGACTGCAGGCCGCCATCCTCACGTCAGCAGCTATATTTGCACACATTCTCCAAAATCCCTCCCAGGCCCTCAGGCTTTCAGGTAAGAAAGCCTAGTCATACCACCTATGCTTACATTGAAGACTTCAGGAATTTTAGGCAAAAACAAACTAGTGAAAGCCAGTCATATGGATGACACATTATTTTAAAAGAAAAACATAAGAAAGCTATTTAATGCTTCTGACGTTACTTAAGGCAATTTCAAACTTTACCTTTTTAAGACTTCAACCTAAAGAAATACCTCAAAGAGGAGGATAAAAATACCTGTGTACATACCTACACACATGTACACTACAACATTGTTTGTAATAGCAAAAAAAAAATGTTATTCTAAATTCCCTTCAATGGAGGTCTAATTAGACATATTACAGCATGTCCACTGAGCTATTAAAAGAGTGAGATAGATTTGACAAGGAAACAGGATACAGACTTAGTTTATATACAAACACACGAACATACACATACTTATTTTACAAATAACATTACTCAATTTTTTAAAAGATTTTATTTTATTTAATTGAGAGAGAGAGAGAGCGTGTGAGCACAGGTGGTGAGGGTAGGCAGAGGGAGAGGGAGAGGCAGGCTCCCCGCTGAGCAGGGAGCCTGACGTGGGGCTCGATCCCAGGACCCCGGGATCATGACCTGAGCCGAAGGCAGCTGCTTAACCAACTGAGCCACCCAGGTGCACCAATATTTTTAAACATTTTAAAAAATTAAAAATCAGGCACTTTTATTTACAAGTAGATTGTCAACTTCTGGAGACTAGAAAAAATTATCAAAAGTTAGCACCCATCCTAACAACATATGGCCATTTACCAATTTCTGACAAGAATCTACGTCTCTGAGAACAGACTGCCGTATCAGTTTGCACTATGTGCGGATTGATTAATGAAAGCAAGTGTAAAGTGCTTTGAGAAACTAAGAAAAAAGTCCTTATTTCAAAATAATCCTGTTAATTTCTTAATCGTCTCTGGATGAGTATTTGGGAGAATGTGAAACACAGGGCACAGTTTGGTATTTTGCAACATTTTGCTATTTCTTCCCTTTTAAAGTAGGCACAGTGCTCTACTCTATTTTCATAAACCCTCGCTGTTACTTGGCTTTCGTGGGAGGCTCCCTGAAATGAGGTCTGTGCCATTTAGAATTTTTCTAAGGCAAAACAGGAAAAATCATTATCCATCTGAAAGGTGTGGGGAAAAAACAAAGCCAGAGTAAACGTGGATAATCACAGGAAGCTGAAAAGGTTCTCGTGTTTGACACGCAAGGGCCGTGGGAGAAAATAAAGTGAAATGTTACGAAAGGGAGGAGGGGTAGAGCAGCGGACTGTGGGTGAGTGGCCAGGAGCCTCAGGCAAGTCCTCACAGCCAGACGGACACGGAGCGCCTTGCAGAGCTAGGGCCCGGGGGGGAGCCCCCTTCCTCCTAGCACAGGATCCTCTCCATCGCCCCTCGGCCATCTACAGCTGCCTCAGTAGCTGCGCCCGTGTTTCCCCCACAGGCCGTGACATCTCAGGAGGAAAGTCGGGCCAGACACAGTGGGCACGAGGAGCCAGAGCCCACGGGCCCCGCCGCCGTTGGCTTTACTCTTATGGAACTGGGGATGCGGACTCTCGGACTGCGGCGGGTTTCCCGTCATGTCAGCGAGGGTCCGAAGCCCATGATCACCTCCTTGCCAAGAGTTTATTGGCATCTCTGGTGTCCTTAGACCAGGGGCTCCAAACGTGGGCCATCTCCCCAGTTTTGTGGAGCATCTGAAAACATTCAGATTCCTGGGCGTATCTACCCGAGAGGCACTGTACAGAAATCAGTCGTTTTCTTCTAGCGTCCCAGCAAGAGCTTGGTCCTACCAGTTCTTAACACCAGTCTTGATGGATTCACGCTCTCGGACTTGAGGACAGCAGGGTTTAGAAGTGGTGCAGGGGAGACTGGAGATGAAGAATGACCAGGGGAGAAAGAAGAGCAACAAGGCACAGCCTGCCCCACGGGAAAGACAGGAGGGACCGGCTTCACGTATATGGGACTCAGGTACACCGGGAAGGCTCTTCTGCCGCAAACTATCTCACTGGCTTTTTACTAAGAAAAGGAATAGGTCTGGGATTCCACCATTAGGATTTCACTCCTTCCTTAAAGCTGTGTCACACGTTAAAACAAAAACAGCCCTCAGTATTAAACTGTTACTTCTCACTGATGCAGCTAAAATTCATTTGCTTCTTTTTAAGAAGCCACTAAAACAAAGCAGGTTGGGGGGAGGTATCCCTCGTCCTGGAGGGAAAGGAAAGGGGTGCCTCCCCCAAAGGCCATGACTCAGGAGGGTGGATTTTGCCACTTGCCTCAGGCCAGCTTTACGGCTGTATCTAGGGAGCAGCTGTGTGCCCGGGACAAGACTCGGCCCACAGGAAATGTGGCTCTGCATGAGGAAGAGCCAACTGAGGATGTGTGACTCTGTCCCTTCTGCCACACTTGCTTGGCCATTCTCTGACCTCCTCCGCACGCCTCAGCACCTGTTACAGATAATTGTTTAATTACTTTACAAAGCTCGCACCATGTCTTCCCAGCCAGATGCAAGCTCCTCTGAGATCAGGAAGAACTTAGGAGTTCTTCTTCCTTCCCAGAGCCACAGAGTGCCGCACTGAACAGGTGGGAGGTCCTCAGTAATACATTCACTGACCCACCGAAGCAGCAGGTGATACTGGGCAGAAACACTCTTCTCCTGCCATCTCTTTATGAACCCTACTTCTGAGTGCTGAACTTCACTTGCCTGTCAAATTTTCCTTCTCTCCAATAAACTGTCCCTCTCAACTAAAGTTCCTTCCTCAGCACAGTCTATTTCTGTTGGTTCTTGCAAACATGTACAAACATGAAATCACCACTGAACATTTTTGGGAAAATATCCCTGCCTCTCAAATATGTTTGCAGAAAATGAAGTTCACCTCCGTTTATGGTTCAAAGTGGTCTGTGTAAGGAATGAAATAGGGAAATGTTGATCAAAAGAAGCAGCAAAGACTGACATCCATACAGACCAGTAGCTTAGTCTTAAAAACAACCAACCAACCAACCAACCAACCAACCAACCAACCAACCAAGGGCTTCTAAGCCAAGGACTTTTACTGTCCACACTAAAATATTTTATCTATCATGAATCAAAAAAGTATACCCAACCTTTGAGTAAAGCGTAATTAGAAACATGAAAGGTAGCTCTGGTGCAAATAGCAACTGACTTGCTTGTATGCACGTGATTAGCTAATGCCAGAGGTGGTACAGTCTGTCTTCAGTTCTGGGACCTCTCCTGAGAGACGCAACAAAAACCCCAGTTAACATTTCTGATTATCTGAATTCTGAAATAATCTGGCTCTTTGTATGAGTTCTGTATGTGACCTTTTCCATTTCCTACTAGTAAGATGGAGAAAATGAAGTGATTTCTAGGTGTGACAAATCCCCAATCTAGTGTTAAGGCACCTGGTATGTCTAAGAGGGACCAGAATTCTTAAAAAAAAATAAAATCTAGATTTGGATTCTATCTTAAGATTTTATTTATGTATTTGACAGAGAGAGACATAGCGAGAGAGGGAACACAAGCAGGGAGAGTGGGAGAGGGAGAAGCAGGCTTCCTACTGAGCAGGGAGCCTGATGTGGGGCTCGATCCCAGGACCCTGGGATCATGACCTGAGCCGAAGGCAGACGCTTAACGACTGAGCCACCCAGGCGCCCCTGGATTCTATCTTATGTTACAACTCTCATCCCATGAACCACAGTGAATCCTACCACACCCATGGGTTTTTTTGTTTGTTTTTTAGATTTTGTTTATTTGACAGAGAGAGCGAGAGAGCACAAGCAGGGGGGGAACAGTAGAGGGAGAGGGAGAAGCAGGGAGCCCGATGCAGGGCTCGGTCCCAGGACCCTGGGATCATGACCTGAGCTGAAGGCAGACACTTAACCAACTGAGCCACCCAGGAGCCCCCATCCATGGCTTTTTATCTTAACTATGGGCCTCAGCCATTCTTTTCTTATAGGAAAATAACCCAGTGAGTAGTCACTTTATTATAAGGCCACAATTAGTCAATTAGTCCTCTTTCCTTACATACTTTCCCTTTGTTTTTATTCCAAGGAAGTGACTGAGTCTTGCACCCTGACTGGAGTGTGGGAAACAGAATAAAAGCAATTTTATTGTGCAGGAATAAAAGCAATTATTTAAGTACTTAGCAGATACCTAGCCCTTTCTTTTACATAAATTACACATGAAGAATCTGAAGTTCAGGTGCATCAACCATTGCTGAGTGCCCAGCAGGGAGGTTAGGTGGCTTGTGCAGGATTTCAGAAGTAAGTGCTAAAGCTGGAACTTGAACCCTAGTTAGTCTCTAAATTCCACGCTTTTATCCTTTTGGTCACAATGACTCTGCTTTTCCACCCTGGGAAAGTTTCATAAGCAGTTAGAGTATCACCATCTGAAACATCAGAACTTTCAAATGCACCCAATTCCTGTAACTACTGTGACAGATGGCAAAACCCCCCGACTCCCCCACTTCTCCCAATAGTCAAGCCTGGGCACTTTAACTCCAAAGCTCCTCCATCTCCTGAATACAGGCTGGTCTTGCGACTTGGTTTGACCAATACAACGTGGTGGAAGTCAGAGTCGTTCCAAACCTGGGTCTTAAGAAGCTTGGCCTGCTTCTCTGCTGGTTTTTCTGGATCCTTGCTGCTGCTACACTGTGAGCATGCTCTGGAGAGCCTGCTGAATAATGAGACGTGGCTGTCAGCCTTCACTGCCACGGTCAACCAGCCAGCTGCCACAGACACCCTGGGCCTCGCTGACATCATTGAGCCCGGCCAGTTCAGGAGAACTGCCCGGCTGACCTGTAGACTCCAGAGGAATAATAAATGGTTCTTATTTAAAGATCCTGAATTTCGGGGTGGTTTGTTACAGAGCAAATACCTGACACAATTCACAAACAAATCCTTTTTGAACAGAGAAATTATTTCTAAAAGACAGGCCTCAATGTGGAAACTCTCGTTGATATAAAAATATGAGGTGTTCAATGAGTCCTTCATTATGTGATTTAATTTGCAAAATAAGGTTGAAACTGTGACTTGATCAATTCAAGAACATGCATGGTGCTTCGGTAGAGGTAATAACTTTAGATACGGACACAAACAAGTGTGTATGTGAAAATCGACATCCAGAAAGTGAAGTCCTTTTCACTGGGGGATATAATTCATACTGAATCACTTAAGTCCTTCTTTGAAGAGGTAGAAACTGCATTGTATTAGGACTCTCAGAGAGTTAATATTTTCTTTAAGAAAAAGCCAAAGATATATAAAGAGATCAAATAAGCGATGAACTTACTTATTATACCCCAAGAATTTGTCAAGAAATGAGAAGACTGCTCTTCCTCAGACAGTGATTCTAGTTTACCTTAATCAAGTTCCTAAGAGGTTCACGTAGTAGAAGAGCAATTCTAAAGGAGTACTGGCAAGGATGGGGGGTAGGCAGGGGTGGGAGAAAGCCAGACAGGAAGCACTCAGCACTCATTTCAACAAAACATCCATCACATATGCATTTTTCAGTTCCTCTTCTAACTTACAGCAAAAAAAAAAAAAAAAAAAAAAAAAAAAAGTTAAAAGTCCCAGAGGTTCAAGTCTCCAGGACATAACTGTAATTCCTTAGTCTCAGAGTTAAGATCATAATGAAGCCAGTTTACCAACTATCAATTTATGAAAAAAAGCTTAAGAATAGGGTGGTATGGCACGAGGGACAGCGTTGTCAAGCATGAACCTGTGGCATTAAGGAGTGGTCTCATCTTAGCCACCCCGCCAAAAGTAACGGTGACATTTTGTGAGTGCTTGTGAAGTGCCAGACACTGTGCTAAGCGTCTGTATGCATTACCTCACTGTGCTCGTTTTAAAGGTGAGGGAAAGGAGGGTTCACAGGGTTATGAACTTGCTCAAGGTTCATACCCAGAGAATGTGACCAGAGTCCTCATTCTGACCCACAATACTGTACTGATTGTACTAGGCCTTAGTTTCCTCATGTGAAAAATAATGGATAATGGACTGGATATCAAGACTGGCTCCAGCTGGAATTCTAGGATTCTGTGACAGCAACAGGAACACCTTGTGGTGTGTGTTTTGGATAGGGATGGGGATTGGCACCTTCTCCTCGCCACTCTATCTACTCCTATGCTTCTATCCTCAGCAACAGAAATGGTGAAGCTGGTTTGGCAAACAAGTCTACTATCCACGAGCCGTCACCCTGGTCCGTTAGCCATCTCTCGGCAAAGGTCTGACTGCCCCTGGGCTTTCTGTGAAGTGCCTGGCAGGGCAGGCATTGAATGAATGGATAAATACTCCACAGCCTCTGTTGGAAAAAGCCTGAAATTGGTTGCCACTGCTTTCATGCTTCCTACAAATCTTCTAAATGTAACATCCAAGACCATAAGCTCCACAAGGACAGAGACTACTTGGCCTCACTTCCCGCTCCATCCTTTGTAACTTGAATTGTGCCTCACATATTCTAACAGCTTAACACAAGTGCTGTTCTTATTGTTGTTACTGGATTCTTAGTTCCAAACTGCCCTAAAATGGGTAAAATATACGCTTAAAAGCCAGGCCATGCTATTTGCTCCCTCTTCTAGATGATTCTTTGTTCAAACAGCCAGCCTGAATTGAGTATCTTAAGTGCTAGGTGCTGTAGTGAAAACAGTCCTCGTCCTTAAGAACGGATCTCGTAGAAGAGAAAAATCAGAAATATATAAGGAAGAGGCAAGGGAGAAATACATTTAGAAACCAGTATTAATTCAACAGCTATTTATTGGGTACCTACTATGTGCTAATCATGGAGTTGGGTATAAAGAACTGGATGCTAGGCAGCTGCCCAGGCTACCATCAGGAAGGATATCCAGAGCGAGAGGGATATGCAGGGCTACATAAAGGAAAGTGTAGAAAGTAAGTGGGCATTAAAGTGGTCTAGAAGGCTCCACAGTGTTAAAAGCAGAGAGAAGGAGCTTGATTCCAGAGCGCAACAATCCTCAGTTCCAGCATACGGCACACTGGGATGCTATGATCAATTTTGGGATTTGGCCAAAATGCTAGTAGTAATCATTTTTGTATTTTCATTGTAAAGAAAAAATATAAACACTGCCAGATTAGACTGGTTTGCTGTAATCCCTGTGAAAAGTAATTTGGAAGTACACATTAAAGATGTAAATATACATACCACTGCTTCAGCAGCCCGACTTTGGGAGTAATCTATCCTTAGAAACCAAGTTGCTACATGTTAAGTATTCACAGAAAAGGATGTTTATTGGAACCTTGTTTGTCATGGCAAAACTCTTTCAACAACCGCAATGGAGTACTCTACAACTATTAAAAAAAATGGGATGCACATGTGTTGATCTGGAAGGATGTTCAGGATGTACTGTAGGTGAGAAAATCAAGTTGCAGAGAAACTGGTGTACAATAGTCCCATTCTTATTTACAAGCAAACAACCCAGAAGGCCTTCTATAAGTGTTTATGCTGACACAGTGACACAGACAGGTGCAGGATAAGGGGGGAGACAGGCAGGAATGGGAGGAAGAAAGAGGGAAAGAGAGGGCGATGTGAATAAATTTATTGATTAATGTTTTCTTGATATACTCTTACTGAAGAGAATTCTGCCAGTGTTTTTTTTTTTTTTGCCAACTTTGAAAAGGCATTTGGAAAAACAATAATAAATAAAAACAATTTAAAAAGAACTGGTTCACAGACTTATCCCTATAAATTCACTTACACGCAGATCCTTCCTGGATTAAGATAGAAGAGCACAGAGTTGTACGAAACTGTGCAAAAACCAAATCCTCCAAGGGTTCTGGAGTATTCATGGGGCTCCGTGCCATGTGCCATGGTTGGCTTATGGGTTGTAGGGGAAAGAACATGGAGAACCACTAGCCCATGAGGAACAGAACCACAGACAGTTCTTGATCAGGGGAATAATATTGAAAGCAGTATCATGGGAAGATTAATCTGTCAGTACAGTGCAGAATGAATTGAAAAAGGAGAGGGGGAAATGAGGAAAACAAGAGACTACTGAGGTGCTAAGAGTTCAAATTAAGGGATGGCCAAATTTTTTTCCCTTGTGTGCTGACTTCTTAGGGAACAGAAACTTAATTTCCTCCTGGTTTCCAGCCTTTGTCTCTTACTCCTAGCCCAGCCTCAGGGTCTCTGCGGTCTCAGAAGTGTGTTTCTTATTATTCACTTGAATATTTTAATCTAAATTTCAGAAACTGACTAAGCTCTCAAATTTAGGGTTTCTTCTTTAAAAAAATTATAAACTAATCACTAGTTATGTTGTTCCATTTAGGGTTTCACTGATTTCTCTTGACTTTGAGTTCTGAGAATGTTTCCATACTTGAAGCACTGGCTTCAACAATGATTTCCTCTTTTAAGGGTACTCTGCCCAGTCTCTTCCACCCCAGCTGACTGGACAGCCTGAACCACTCTCTCTCTCCGCCCCGATTTAAACCTGCTGCCTCCCAAGTCTCCAGCTATACATTCAGTATATCTTTTGTGGCTGCTGTCTCTGGATGCTTTCCAGAGCCCTGTCCTTGGTCCTCCCCTCTTTTTTTCCTAAACACTAAAGCAGTTCATTCTTAAATGACCTCATCTGATTTTCTTGCTTTAGTAGCTAATACCTACTTACCTTGCATTTTCTTTTTTCGGTAACTGTCTTGACCAAATTAGGCTTAACTCTCCTACAACTCTTAGAAGAGATAACTCATCTTACTAACCTTTTGAATTGCTGCTATATACCATAGGTGCAATAAGTCAGAACTATACGTAGAAGAAGGCAAATCTAAAATGTAACTAAGAGAAAGGTAATTTAGAATTCAGGCAAAAATAAGCTACCTCTCGGAGTACTAATTATACACACACATGAAAAATGGGCACATCAAATTCTTGCCTGATTTTCTAGGTAAGTCAACACAAATGCATATATTAGATATCTGCTAGAATCAACCCAAATCTTAAACAGCTGAAAAACATAATGATGACAGCTTCTGTTATGAAAGGTTACTGTCTTGAACAAGATAAATAAAAGAAAGCTGAACCTCAAACTTTATTTACAAGCTTTGGTTACCCCAATTTGTTCAATGGCAAATGTACCAGAGTTGTTTTAAGAAACTATGAAAAGTGGTCCATTTCTAAGTCATAAAGCAAATTTAAAGAATGACAATTAAAAACACATTTGCTTTATGTCTTCTATGGATACAGAAGCACTTGTGCATCTTGAAACCAAAAATCTGGAGGAGACAAACTGTGCTAATTCCTCTTAGTGAGGCTCACGGTCTGCTAACATTTCCATTTCTCCACAAAGACAGAAGTGTGATCCATCCCTATATATCTTTTGGTATGTATGTCAATTTTGTTTATTCTTATCTTCAACATGGATTTGCAGAGGTCTTACAATGTGCTAGGCAGACACTCTTCTACTTGCTGGGGTACAGAAGCACAACATCGTGGCAGACAGGGTCACTGCCCCACGGAGCTGACAGTCTCGCAGGTGAACAGGTAAGGTGCACACAATCAGTCTAACATGGAAGGCAAGGGAACAGTGTGTGTGAAACATGCTATTTCACATACAGCAGTCTGAGAAGGTCTCTCTTATGGAGTTGGTCTTTAAGTGGAGACCTACATAAAGTGAGAGAACAAATGTGATAAATGAGAGAATTAATGTGGGTATCCGAGGAAAGAAGAATCCAGACAAAAATTTTTCAAGTTTGGGCTCAAGCACAGGAGTCCCAGAAAGAGGACTAGCCTTCTAGAGCATAAGGAGATATTCTGAAGTGACGATAAAAAAGGTGTCTAACACCAGGGGTGCATAACCTCAGGCTCTGCATTAAGGGTGAAAATCATGTCTTCTCCCTGTCTTGTATCACATAATGTATGTAATGACGGTGTGTATGTATCAGGTTCCTCCATAAGTGATGGAAATCTCCTGCTGGTTCATTCCTAACTACAGAGTCCTCATCTGATGAGCTCATCTGTTCCATCTTTTCATTCTTCTGTCTCAGACTCCCTGTTATCACCCACCCTCCCCCCCCTCCTTTTATTTTTTCCAAATAGCAGACTCAACTCCGGTTTCCCATTCATCCACACATTTTCCCCTTTGAAGTCTCAGTCATGCCTTCCTGGGGAGAAGTTTAACCTCCTTCAAGTACACATTTCAGAAAGCCAATTGCACAAGGGTAGGGGGAGGGAGAGCGGAAGAGATACAAAGATCTGGGGATAGAACATCACCAGACTGCTGCGTGACGTTGGGGATGTTTATCTTCTTCGCCTCTGTATGCCCAATGCCTAGCTCCACAAACTGCTGCTGCTGGAGTAGTTGGAAGGATCTCAGAGATCCGCGTAAGTTAACCTCCCACTCCAGCCGTCTCAAGAATTCCTTTCCCAGAACATGCCTTTGTAGCTCTTCCTCCTATTAACACGGCGTAGCTAGGCTGCTTATATATATTTCCCAGTGCTCATACAGAAACACTTAGGCACAGAAATATCAAATTTAACCGGATGCTGGAGTTGGAATGTAGAATTTTCCTTTTCCACAGATTTCTGAGTTCTGGCTTTTCCCTCCGGCTTTGTTTATGGTTTTCTCTTTCAAATATGTCTGTGGTGACTCCAAAGCACTGCAATTCTGCTAAATGACATTATGAATTAAAGGGCCACCAGTCCTTAACATGCTGAGTTAGAGACTGTTTCACCTATTTGTCTTACCTTCCCTTTAAGAATATTTCTTCTTATATTATATTTAAAATCTAGCACCTGTAGACTGCACCAACACCAGATCATTGTAAGTGCTTAGCAATGAGAAACATTTTCTACCTAATAGGAAAACAGAATGTAAGAGAATGGTTACAAAAGGTATATCCCATTATGCATGCCACTGCATGTGTCTTTATGAATTCCAAGGCTGGGATCTATTTCAATCTTAGCATTTTGTAAATAATAAACATGACTAAATTTAGAAAATAGTGACAACCAAAATTTGCTTAATTTTTTTAAAGTACTTTCAACCATGAGCAGCACATTTCTTTTCAGGTTATAAGGAATAAAAGAAAATGTGTGAATTAACATGTGAATTTTATATTGTAGCTTTAACTCTCTGTTAAACTATTTTATGGGTGTCAGTAATTTGAGTGTACTTTGAGTTCCTGCCACACTGATTGTCAAGTAGGTTAATTCCTTGATGCACTGAGGATTGAAATGGGAACTTAAACTCTTTGGGAGATGAGGAATTACATGTAGGAATTTACCTTTACTTTTTATAACTTATGGTCATATTTCCTTCAAGTCCAAAGGAAAGACAGGCACCTTATTTGAACATAAACATGAAAAAAATCAGGCTTAGTGGGGGAATACTATCTCTTTTTCTATACTATGTCAAGAAAAGAAAATACATCAGCTGTTAACATAAAGCTCCTGGATAGCTCATAGAGAACAAATCACACCTTAACCACTGAGCACCATCCATTTCAGACTGGTCACCTTGGGAACCTAGGCATTTATTCCAGGGAAATTTAACAGTTTTAAACATCTATAGAAACACCTACATGGTTTCTTTTAAATAACCTCAATGAAAACAAGTGTTATAATGTGTGAGAGGATTAAATTTCTAAATTTCTGGAAATACTGAAATTATTTGGAATCACATAAAAAGGTAAAAGGTAAACCATCAAGCTAAGGAAAAAATACATTTTCTGATTAAGCAAGAACATTCAGGTGTTCCTATAGTGTAATGAGTCCAGTTTCTCTTATGGCTTACAAGGTGGGTCCGAAGGCAATTTCAAAAGAGGGATAATATGTATACCCTTCCAAGGTGGAGGCTTAGAAATGCAACATTCATTTAGGGTTTCTGTTTAAAAAAAAAAAATCAATCTATTTTATAGATTGATTATAAATCTATAAACTATATTTATAGATCACACTTTGTCCTTAATAAACTCAGTTGGATTCCAGATGACAAATTTCACAAAGTTCTAATTAAATTTTTTAGTATTTCCTTTTAAAAAAGCTGCCTACAAACTTAAGTTATATTTAACATTGGCATGTTTACCATTTTAAACTGCCACTTAACTGGTTTCTGTACTTGGTTCTTTGTGATATTAAAAAAAAAAAAGATTTATAACTTTGGTTTCATCCATCAAATTTGTTTGTTTTTTTTGTTTTATCACTCGATCAATAAGGAAAGAAGTTATTAAATGTAGTCAAGTAAGTTACATAATCCTCCCCAATGTATGCACTTAGGACAAATTTTGGTATTCCATACAGTCAGAAACTCCTTTCACACAGCTTTGCTAAATATAATGAACATGAAAAGAAATTAAAGCTAATAACTTCATTCTCATTTTCAGACAAATTCTAGTTTCTTACTGAAACTTTAATGAATCTGCAAAAATCGTTTTTTAAGAATACCAGACAATAAAACAAGGGGACCTTCTAGCATTTATTAATAAAAACCTAACAACATCGCTGACGTTCAACGTGCAATTAAATTTAGATGACATACCTAATAAACAGAATGCACTGAAAAGCTAACAAAAAAACAAAACTGAATAAAAAAATTAATGTAAATACAATTACCTTGGCGCTTGAAGGCTTTAAATACAGTCCTTATGGAACTGGAATCCATGACTGTTAATGATCGCACACATAGACCCAGGAAAAGTCTCGAGGAACAGGATATACCTAACACGGGCACAGATGTCCTCATGTACTTAGCCAATGAGGGTCATGCTGGTTTGAGCTCAGGAGACTTGGCAGAGCTTTAAAAATGCCACCCTGAATTTTTTTATAGTACTTTTTAATTTTCAAAGTAAACATCCATGCACAAATCCTGTCAGGCAAAAATGCTGGGCGCTCTGTTTTACAGAAGCTGAAACTGTCACAGAAAGCTGGAAGTGACTATACAAACATACAGGGAGGACAGCAGAGGCTTCATCCCGTTTCTCCTACATATATTGTTTCAAGATTCACTGATGGCCAATAAAAACTTGCAAAGACCTGAGGAAATTTCTAACACAGTATTAAATATTCCCCTTCAGATCAGGGTTAAGTTTTTTCTGACTATTCTTTTCTCTTGAAATGTCTTGTTTTCCCACCTGTAAAATTAAGCTAATAACAGCTGTCTCCTGTACCACACAGATAATGGCAGAACCAATAACCTGATGCAGAAACTACAGTTACGAACCCTCACAGGTTGCTAAGAAGTTTAAATGAGATGAATGCATACAAAGAAAGCCCTTAGCATGGTGCTGCCGCTTAATGCACACTCAACATTAGTGGAGGAGAAAAGGGTTAATTAAAAAAATACATAGGAAAGAATATGGATACTGTACATTTTTTAAATCCAAACTAGTTGATTTCATAGCAACTTTTATAAAACACCTGGTAATCTGTATTATGTTTCAAGTCTCTAGAGCAAGAGACCAGATGTTAAGAGAAGCCTGCTACGGAACTTTAGACAACAGAGAATGAGGCTAGTCCAACGCGGCAACACCACAAACTAATTCTGCAGTGTTTCTCTAGACATTTTCTATGGGTCTCATTTCCTCATCTGGAAACATGAGAATGGGGGAGCAGATGAGCTTTCAAGAGCCTTTAAGCTCTAATCTAAAGTCATTGTACCTAGCACATAAAACAAGCTCGGAGAACCCAAGAGCCCCACTTCTCCAGCTCCACCAGTAACAGTGTTTACCTATCATTTTCTATGTACCACCAATTACACTAATTCTTATAAAAATGCCAAATCCCAGTTTGTTTTTTGTCTTGTACTTGATAATGAACAAAAAAGTCAAATAACCAACCTGTGTGCCATTCCCTATTCCACTGCCTCCTTCACTAGTGATAGGTTAAGAGGACTGTAGAATTTTAGAAAAAGAAACACACACGTGTTAAGAAAATAATTCATCTATAATTGTCAAGAAAGTACTTTGATTCCACAGTATCTAATCACTCGAGGTCAAAGACTGGCTCTGCTCAGCCTTAGAACTCAAGTCTTCTGATTTTGAGTCTAGTTCTTTCCTATTTCTATTACGGAATAACTAAATCAAATTGAAAGGAATTTGAAGGGGTTTCTTTTTTAAAGTAACAAAATTGCAATTTAAATCATCTTAAAATTAAAGAAGCCTTTATCCTCAATAATTACAAAATAAAACAACATTATAACAACAACAAAGTCTATCCATAACAAACTGGTAGAGCTTTAATGTTCAACATGTGATGATCCTAAGGGTCACAAGTCACTGCGCTGCCCCAACAGCATGAAATAATAAATCAGGAACTAAACACTGGATGTCATTTCAAAATAGCTTTAAAAAATTGGCTATCAAACACACTTTCATAATAGCCACTGTTAAATATTATGGATAATTATGAAAACAACCAGAAGAAAGGCTCTTTTTATTATAAAAAGGAGTAAAAGTTAACATTTATTGCAGCACACTATATGTCATACAGCATACTCAAGATGAACACTCAAAATGTTACAAAAATAAAAATTCATGTTAAGACGGTGTGCTAAACATCTGCAACTCCTCACAGCATTAAACCTGTCTCTCCTTATCTATACACATGTATGTATATATGTATGTATATATGGGGTGCCTTACAGCAAGAATTTAAAAAGTTCTAAAATAAGAAGTACTTTCACTAAATTTACTGCATTATTAGACACTGTCAATCTTACAGTATCTTGAAACTGGCTCAAAAAGTATTCTAAAGCACTCAAAATTAATATTTGAATGACTGAAAAAGCATGTTTAAGCATACAGCTCTACCAAGATAAATGATTAATATTTAAATTGGCCCAGAAATAAAATTAGGGGATCACACGCTTCCATTCAAAATAATTGGCTTTAAGGACTATATTGCAATACAAATAGTTTTAATCAATTGCAGAACCCCCTAATTTATTCTATCTACCACTGAATAAGAATTTAATTTCCTCAATATTCCAGCAGCAAAATACACAGCCTCTGGAAATACATTACCAAAGAAAAAGGCTGCATTCCACAGTCAGATGACAGTGTATATAAAAGTGTAAGAGTAAATATAAAGTGGTTCTATCAAGTGGATCATCATTATTTCAACTTCATTGCAGTAACCAGATTTTCATTGATTAAAGAGCAGATTAAGTAAAAAGGGACAAATATGAACTTGATCTTAGCTGGAATAATGTAAAAGGAATTAAAACATCCATTCCATACTTCTTGTAGTAACGAAGCACAGCAAAAGACAAGAACGTAACCCTCTATACAGTTAGGGCCATATAGCCACCAATTAGCTTTAGGTTTCCACCTCAAATGAAAGAAGCTAAATTGTAATACTGGTTAGTGCACTCCCTCATACACAAACACAGCCCCAAATTTCTCTTTAGTCCTCTGAATTTCTTGACAATTGATCCAAACTGCTGGGTTTGGGAAGCATTCTTGGTATTTTTAAACCTATCCTCCACCATTCCACACTTCTAGTGCTCCTCCTTCTCCCACCCCCTGCCCCCTTACTTAATTAACAAACTCCACGGGAAATCCTGCATTTAAGGGACATACGTAATGGCAGTAAGATAAAGATGACAGCCTGTTAAAATTAGGTCTTTGGAGGTTGAAATCACTGTCTACAACTAATTTTGAACTGCTATAAAATTGCATATTTTCTAAAATATACACTTTAATGAACAAAATGAAGATAAAAATCTCCATTAACAATCCCATTCTAATCCAGTTCGGCATAGCAATTCACAGGAAAAAGAACACTCAGTGGGATCTTTTCTTTCTTTAAATGGCAGGAATATGTGTTCACTTCGGCAGCACTTATACTAAATGGTAGGAATATTTCTATTTACTTGAGAAATACAAAACGTAAGCAGAATAAACCAGAAGAAAATGAGAGCAGTTGGCTCTCTGAAACTACAGAAGTAAGGGCATGGGCTTTTAAACCCTTCTGAAGGGTCAATAATCAGGAATTGATTTTTTTTTCAGCTACAGCTTAATTCAACAATATTTCTTGAAAACTCTTGTGCAACAAAAGTCACCAAGATGTATTCTGCATGACTCAGAAATATGGAAGCAGGTGCCTGTTAGTATGGCAAATACCTGTAAATACTACCA